AAGACAGAAAAAATCAGTTTTGGACTCTCAATGAACTTCTGTATTTCCCTGTGATATTACTTAAAATTATTATGTGAAAAGAAAAATTATATTCTGTGAGAGTATAGAAATACCCTGTAACACATTGGTGATTGCCTTGAGCCATAGGCTGTACCAGCCTCCCTAACCCTTGGGTTCCCACGGCTCTTCCTGAGTTTTCCATACAGACCTTTCAACTCCTTCTGCATCTCTTCAGGCTGTTCTGCCATCAGTGTATTCCTTCAGAAACATTATGAGCACCTACTATTTGCTCTGTACTGTGCTAGATACTAGAAATCTGAAAATTAATTAAACTCAGCCCTTTCCTTTACGGAGCTGTCAGTCAGGTGGGGAAGGCTGAACTTATCATGTGCTAAGAGGCAAATAGGTATGTACAAGGTGTGGAAATTCCATGAAGGTTGGAGCTATCATCTCCGCCTGGAAGGTGAGACAAAGCATCCCAGACGAGCAGACATGCAAGTGAGGGACATGCTTGGGACTGGGAGTCTCGTCCTTGCCCTTGGCTGAAAATTTTCTCAATTCTCTTTGGAGTTCATTCTGGAGGGTGCAAATGTACAGGGAACACTACGGCTGTGGTACGGGAATATATGAAGCATTGTTAGATGGTAAACTGCAGCTCTGGGACTGCAGGGGAGTTTAAATCGTATGAGATTGTAACATTTGTAACATTAAAGCTGATACCAGATTGTCATTTCTCAAGAGACCAGAGAATTCTGCAGGAGACTGTTTTACCTGTCATCAGTTTCTGTGATCTCTATGATTACGAAGCCTATTTTTCACAAGCAGCCATAGATATGCTACTTTTTGAAAGGCCTCGTCAAGTCATTTGCCCATGTCGTTTTTTGGGGTTTTGAGGGATTTTATAAAATTGGATTGTTTGTCTCTTTTTAAAAATATTTCTTTAGTAGAGACGGGGTATCACTCTTGCTCAGGCCGGTTTCAAACTCCTGAGCTCAAGCAATCCTCCCACTTTGGCCTCCTGGAGTGCTAGGATTACAGGCATGAGCCACCGTGCCCAGCAAAAATATTTCTTTGTGTGTTCTGAATACAAGTTCTCTATTGGATATTTTGCAATTATCTTTATAAATATCTCCTATCTTGAATAATAATGAGTTCATTTTAATGATTAAGTAAATTTATTAACTTTTTTTTTCACAGTTAGTGCTTTTTAGGTTCTGTTTCATAAATCTTTGCCTACCCTAAATCAGGAAGATACTCTCCTAGGTTTTCTTCTGGCAACTTTATCTTTCATATTTGGATCTAAGGTTCATTTTGAATTAATTTTTGTGTGTCCCAAAAAAATCCAAATGCCAAAAAGCGTATGAAAAGGTACTCAACATCACAAAATATCAGAAAAATACAAATTAAAACCACAATGTGAGGGTCAAGGTTTACTTTGTCCACTACAGATACCTACTTCCTCTAGCACCATTTGTTGAAAAGACCATCCTTTCCCGACTGTCATAAATCAAGTAGCCATACATGTGTGGTCTATTTCTAGACTCTGTTTTGTTCCCTTGGTCTATTTGTCTGTCTGTACTAGTGCCATATGTTTTAACTACTTTAGCTACAAGTTGTGAGATCTAGTAGTGTGAACCCTTCAACACCGTGTTTCTCCTGTCGTCGCACCCTTCTCTGTGTTATACATTATGTTTTCTTCTGCTTGCTTCTTCAAGATTATCCTAGCTATTATAGATCCTTTTTTACTTCCACATAAATTTTAGAATCAGCTTATCAATTTTCACACACACACACACACAAACATACCCCTCTGCTGGGATTTTGATTCGGTTGCTTTGTATCTGTAGATGAATTTGATAAAGACTACCATCTTCTCAATATTGAGTCTTCTAATCCAAGAACATAGACTATCTGTATAGTTATCCCTCATTATTCTCAGGGAATTTGTTCCAGAACCCCTACAGATACCAAATTCTCGGATGCTCAAATTCTTTATATAAAATGATGCAATATTTGCATTTCATCTACGCACATCCTCAGCTATACTTTAAATCATCTCTAGATTGCTTATAATACTACAATGTAAATACTATGTAAATAGTTGTTATACTGTGTTGTTTAGGAAAAACGACAAGAAATATTCTATACATGTTCAGTACAGACACAACTATCTTTTTTTTTCAAGTATTTTCTATCTCTGGTTGGTTGAATCCATGGAACCCATGGCTGACTGTACTTTATCTTGGTCTGCCTTTAATTTTTCCCAGTATTCTTTTGTAATTTTCAGGGTATAAGTCTTCAACATCTTTCATTAGGTTTATTTCTAGGCATTTGATGTATTTTGATGTTATTATAAATGATATTAGAGTTTTATTTTCCAATTGTTTCTGCAACCAGTTTTATACCATTTTTTTACTGTGCCTCCCACTAAATTCTGTTTTTTATCTGAAGCTCACAGCTCATGTGCAGAACAGATATGACTGATACACTTGGGCCTAATGTATGATCCAGTTCAGGGAAAGCAAATAGGTTATATTTTACTTGCCAATTGATCAATTAAGCATTTTTCAAAGAATCTCTTA